CACGTAAACTTTCAATACGTTTCTTTCCTAGTTAATAACAATTCCAAAAATGTAATCCTAAAAAAAAAAAATCTCCTTCCATAATTTGCACAACCCTCTTGAACATAGATTACATGAGCACGATTGAATGAAGAAATTAAATTTTGCTTTGGAACCTTAGATTCAAGTACCTCTCGTAAGTGGTCAGACGTTTGCTATTCTGTCTAAAAACTTAAGCAGTTAGATAACTTTACGCACATGCTCTTAGGCCATCTGCACCAGCCTCTCCGAATTTTGGCACATTAGTTTTTTTAAGAGCCACATCAGCAATTCCAAGAACCACGTCAGCAGTTTTTGCTCTCCAGAAACATGCACTCCATCAGGCTTTCCGAATTTTTGCTCTCCAAAAAAAATAATAATAAAAAATTAAAATTAATTTTTTGTTTTTTGAACTTTTTCTAAACGGCTATATTTATAACGGCTATATATATATATTTTAATTTATATTTTTTTTAGCTTTTTTTATTTATTTTTGGCCCAAATAAATTTCAACTTTAAGGATTACAAAATATGGATTAAAAATAATCAATTGGAATAAGAAAATAAGGATTACAATTTAAAGCAAAAAAAATAAATAAATAAACAAAAAAAAACAAATTTTAAGGAAAAAACAAAAAAAAACAAAAGCTTTTTGAATTTATTTTTGGCCCAAATAATTTTTTTTTAAGGATTACAAAATAAGGATTAAAAATAATGAATTGGAATAAGAAAATAAGGATTACAATTTAAAGCAAAAAAAACAAAAAAAAAACAAAAGCTTTTTGAATTTATTTTTGGCCCAAATAATTTTTTTTTTTTGATAAACAGTGCATAAACAATATATTTTTTATTTAATGAATTTTATTTTAAATTTTTTTCCTAAAAAAAGCTCAAAATAACCTATTTTTAGCTTTTTTTTTTAAAAAAAATAATTCTGCCAAACAGTGACTCGGGCACTGTTTGGATACTGTTCCACCATTATGCAGATGAGACAAAATAGGCAGCCAATACCGCGAGCCGGCCCGCGATTGCTACTGGCCCCATTCACTTTAGCTAGCCCGCTGGAGAAAGAATAGTGCATTGGCTCGCTGGAAATAGGTTTACGCTAGCCCTCTAGAGATGACCTTAGAGGCTCAAGGTCTTTTCCAATTTGATTCAGTATGAGATTAAACACGTGTCACACTTTGCGTGTCTTGTTTTATATTAATTTGAAGGGGCTATTATTAAAGTTGTTGCTACTCCTTCACAGTGCTATGATGTGATTTAATTATGACATTATTTTTGTACAAAGTAGACACTTTGTCACAAATAAACTTGTATCTATTTTTTTTATTAATTAATTAATTTTTATGGGAAAGATGAAACAACTTTTTCTTGAAAATGGTTGGTGGGGTTGAGAAAGACAAACATACCTAGACCTAGTTGGGTCCCTTTACGGACCAACCACCTCCACACGGGTTCGACCACTTCAACTATGCATACACTAATATACAATGCTTAATGCGTAATCAATAACTCAAAATCAAAAGCTTCTAATCATTGCTTTGCTAAAGTGGTTGGGTAAGTATCCAAAACTTTTAAATAAACACCACTTTTAGAACATTGTATTTTTATTTGTTGTTGATCAAAACAACCTACTGCAAAAGAAAACAAAATAAATAAATAAATAAAACAACTGTTTTTTTTTTTTTGCTTTTTCTATCAAACCCTTTTAAAAAAATTAGTAATCATCCACTTAGTTCATGGGACATGGACCATGCTCTTAAACGTGAGTTACGTGACAATAGAAAATTAAAATTTTAAATTGGCTTCACCTTTAATCATGACTTTTTCTTTTTCCTTTTTACTTTTAATAAGAGACTTGTAGTTAATCTTTGATACTGATAAATATCTTCAAACAGGTATGACGAGTTAACTTAAAAAATTCATATACATTAGTTGTTACACCTTTGACACTAATCCGGAAAAGGGATGTAGTTTCATAATTTCACTTCTTGGACCAACCATTCAACAGCAGAGTTAGTGTATGTTTAGAGGGAACGTGCCCTCTTGGCTTAGCCCCGCCTACTATAATATATATTAAATTTATTTATTTTTACATATATATTTGAAAAAAATTATTTAATGTCCCTCCTAAAATTTTTATTTAATTTCCTTAAAAAAAACGTTAAAGTTTCCTTTTTGAATCAAATTCTATTTTTTTGATTTTTTCCTTTCAAATTTCTCTCATTTTTCTTTCTTTTTTCTAATTTTGTCATCTATTTATCTTTTTTGTACTACTCAATGACAGATTATTTTGTAATAATTTTCTTTCTTTTCCTCTTGATACGAAGAATCTATTATATTCTCAAATTTAATTTCTGACCATTTGTGTTCTGTTCGAATTTTATAAAGAGAAATTATATCATTGAGGGATGATTGTGTTGTTTTCTTTACTTAGAAATTAAGCGAGAAAGTTAAAAATAAGGAGTGCAAATATTACCTTCTTTGTCTAAAATATCATATTTTTGACCAATTTATAAAACTATTTCATTTTCTTATATCAGTGACAATGATCAATTTGTAGATATTTTTTTTTTCATATATTTGACTCAACAATCTCATTACAATGTTCAATTTGTAGGATGATCACTGTTGCTGACACAAACATCTCACTAACAAAACAGCCATAATTGACAAAAGAACAATATTCATACAAAATTAAATATTTGTTGTCATGCTGAGCAAATTTTATTTGGTACTGTTGCATCCAGGAAAAGAAAAGTTAGGAATGTTAGACTTTAGACTTTTATGTGTGTGTATATAGGTGGATTAGTGTTACATAGGATACTTGTTTCACATTATATCCGGATGAAAAGTGAAATGAGTATAAATGAGTGGGTATATATGTAACACTATTCAATAATTTAAGTTTTTGGGTAAATGTGCAAATGTCCACCCGTTATAGTTAGTATTAGATTCATCTGGTATCACGCCAAGTGCCTGGTCCGAAAGACGTCTTGATGTGCCACCCGATTAGATAGGGTGGCTCGACCGTAACGAGAGCGTTGCGAATTCGGTTGGGAGAAAATGTTATAAGAGGAAATTTGTTCCACATCGAATCCTGTTAGAAAGTGAAATGAGTATAAATGAAAGGATAAGTAATACTATTTAATAACTTAAATTTTTGAAACTATTTAATAACTTAAATTTTTGGATAAATGGACAATAGTCCACTTATTAAAAATGATTTAGCTAACTTTGAGGAGACTTTGCAGACTTTGCTTGCTCAGATATCTTTCCTTTAAACATGTTTTATTTTTGTTGTCATACATGTTACGTATTTTTTGTTTTATTTTTTTGCGTGTTTTATCTTTACTTTATTTTATTTTATTTCCAAGAGCTAACTTTCAACAAAATAATTGCATGGATGAAACATAAATTAACTTGTATATTTCGTCAATCTACTCGTCACATAGGATAAAGATAAGGGGATGATGATGAATTATTCTTGTCATAACTTTAATTTTGTTGTAATTTTTCAATTTCTGAATTATATATATATATATATATATATATATATATATATAATAAAAAATATTGTTGTGTAGTAGGAAAAAACAAATTAAAGATGGAGAGAAAAAACAAATTAAATATCGTTCCTACCTTCTTCTTTTTTTTTTCTCAATTGCCAATTTCTTTTTAGTTAGTAACAATAAAAAAACACATATTAAAATATAGGAGTAGAACATTTATGCCTTTTTAATTATCGCCCAAAGAGATTTAAAATCACATGTCGGATTAAAATTCGAAAATGTGCAGCGTTGTTTTTTGAAAAAGAATAACAAATCGAATCTTTCTTCTTAATCAAAATAACATGACTCCAAACTTATCAAATGTCAAACAGGCCCTTAATCCCTTAACTAAAATCAATTATCCATTATCTGGGGCGAAATCGAGTTACCACAAAGTTAGTGGGTCAATGTGTAAATACATTGTTTTATAAATTGACACGTGAGAAAAGACGAAGCGAACGACGTGGAGAAATTGGCTCTATGATTGTAATTGTCCCCCGCGAAGTCCTAATCCCAGAGAGACTGTACTAATCATCAACACATTTCAAAAGGGGGCGGGACTCTCTCTCTCTCTCTCTCTCTCTCTCTCTCTCTCTCCTCTTCTTCATTCAGTTTCTCTCTCTACAATTAACAGCCAACTGCCAGAAAGAGACAGGGAGGAAGCCGCTACGTTTTCTCTGTTTCAGTGGCGGAACTCTCCTCAGGTCTCTCTCTCCTTCCATTTATGTTGTACACTATTTTGTTCATATTATTCTGCTATGTCTGTTGTACACACATTTATGTGTGTGTTTTTGTGATATACATACAAACACATCAAACACACATTCCACGTCTTTAAGGTTTCTCTCTTAATGGTCAATTTTTTTTTTCAATTTTAATTTGTTGATCTTATTATATGATTTCTTTCTTTATTTCTTAAATTGTTGTTTTCCTTGTAGCCTAACTTGTCAATTGTGGTTAACTTTTTGTACACATTCTTCACAACAACAAACAATTAACGCCAAGATTTGCATTTTCTTCTCATTGTTTTTGGTCTAAAGTGTGTGTGTATATATATATATATATAATTTTTGGGTTTTTTAAAATCCCTTTTATATAATCATATATTCGTGTATCTTTGTTGTTGCCAAATTAATTTTCTAGTTCTACTATGATTTGCACATAGGCTGTTGTTGTGGTTGTTTTGATAAACACCCATTACTGGTCTTTTGTTTTATTAAAAAAAATATAAATTACCTTTCAGCCTATTATGATTCTTTTATTGACTTTTTAATCTTACTCGACGGCGACTCTCAACAAACCTTCCTTAACTTTTATTTTTGTCTTGAGTATGTATCTATCTTCATATATTTAAGCTCTTTACGAAAAGAGGATCTCTCTGTTTTTTTTTTTTTTTTTTTTAATTTAATTTAATTTAATTTAAAATAAAATAAAATAAAATAAAATAAATCATTTGTACCCTTTTTCTTATTGGTTTAGTTTGGGTGGGTAGTCATGTCGTCTTTTTAGAAATAATGCTCTGACTAGTATCTTCTGTGGATTGGTATTGTAGCTAGAATCTCACATAATACACACACACACGCATATACATGTATTTTCTTCCACTTTCAGGATATTTTCAAAGGTGATATATATCACTGTGCTATTTGGGGATACCTCAATGCTATGCCATTTTTCTCTATCACAGGTTGACTGCTGTTGTACTTGAAAGCTACCCAGGATGTGCTTATACTATATCCTCTTATCTTCAAGGTAACTATTGGGATTGAATTTTTAAGTTTGGTTGTTAATTAGAACTGCAAAAAACACGAATCACTTCATTAGTCATGTAGTGGTCTGAGTTTTGTGACCAAGAACCATCTACAGACATGGTGAAATCACTCTCTTTAATAGCAGAGATGATGTTATCTGTCTGTTCTGCTTTCCTAAGTATGTGCAAACTATTCTTTCCTTACTATATGGTCTACAATGTTGGGAGTTTTGTCGCAGGAGTTTATGATCCTCAAAGGGAATTTCAGTTTCTGTTCCGAGGTTTATCTTAAGTTCTTAGAAAGTAAACATCCGCATTGGTGTGCACCCGTGCATGAACCTCGGGACTTCAGGGTTCATATCCATTTAAATTATACTTTTGCCTCACACAAAAACATGAATATATTTTGTTGAGTGATTTGTTTTATATTTGATGATAATACCGATTTTTTTTAGATTATGTATGTTTATATTTGCTTGTAAGAAGGGCGGGTTTTGTAAACCGAGATAGTGGAATATATACTAATCTCTAGAAAAGTAATCATTTAATATTTGATTGAATTCCAAGTATTAACAATTGTAAGACCTAAATACCAAGTTCTTCTCTGAGAGTTGGAAGTATTTCTATTGAAGAACAGATAACATGATTTTATATATGTTTTACACTAAGATTTTCAGTAGCATGGCCACATGCTATGTGGTATTTAGGAGGGACAGACTGTTTGAGAAGACAAGTATGAACTGTTGAGTCTAATTTTTTTGTTTAGTTTTGGAATTTGGTCCATTAGTTGTTTAGTTGTGGAATTTGGTTCTGAATTTTTTTTTAGCTTTCGTGATCACAAATATCAGGGATATTGAATCCTCTCATTTAGTGCCGTGGAGACGATGAAGAGTGTTATACTCTGTTGCATCTCCTGTTTATTTGTTTGATGCTATTTATGTACTCTCTTGTTAATATGGTTGATTGTAGGGAATTCGGGAGATGTAACTCTTTCAAATTAGGAGTTTTTTTTAATTCTCCTTCTAATTTGGTTTTTGTTTTGAGGAGTCCAGTAGCATGGCCACTTGCTATGTGGTATTTAAGAGGGACAGACAAGTATGAACTGTTGAGTAATGTTTTTTTTTGTTTAGTTTTGGAATTTGGTCCATTTTTTGTTTAGTTGTGGAATTTGGTTCTGAATTTTTTTTTTAGCTTTCCTGATCTCGAATATCAGGGATATTGAATCCTCTTTTAGTGCACTGGAAACGATGAAGAGTGCTATACTCAATTGCAGCTCCCATTAATTCTGTTTGATGCTATTTTGATAAACTCTTGTTAATCTGGTTAATTTTAGGGAATCAGGGAGATGTAACTCTTTCAAATTAGGAGGTTTTTTTATTCTCCTTCTAATTTGGTTTTTTTTTGAGGAATCCATTGCAGGTGTTTTGTTTCCCGGGAGTTATTTATATGCCGTGTCAACTCTTTCCGTGAAGTTGCCGTATGATATGAAGAGGACATTCATTCTGGTCTGGTCGTCATTATGGGAGGCTGTGCTTCAAAACCAAATAGAAAAATTAGATCACACAAGAAGTACTTCTACAGGCTTGGCAAATGTCGCCGAAAGATTTCCTCTTCTGTTCCTGTTGTACCTATGGAACGGCTTAGTGATGCAGAAAGCCATGTAAGAGATTTTGCTGTTAGTGAGTTCGTCCATCTAGCCTTCGAGAAGGGTGCTGCAGCCACATGCGGAAGATCTGAGGTCTCTAATTTGACATTTCATCTCACCCAGCTGCAATGGGACGACAACCAACTTGATGCAAATGGTACATTTCTTTTTCCTTCTAATGTCAGGAATTTTCATCCACGAAAATCAACTGAGTAAACGTCCCTATCCGGTCAAGTAATGTGAGTTAACTATTCAAGTTGTATCCATTAAATTGGAATTAGGAACACTTGCAAGATAGATACAGACAAAAAGGATATTTTTACTATCTAATCAGGCAGAATTTTCTATCAAGGAGTCGTGTCCATGGTTGGACATTGAACTACTGGTCAAATGGTTGGACCACTTCTCCTTTAAACCTTTCATTATTATATTACTATACTCCATTTGAGAAACTCATATTTGTGATTTACGATTTGTATAAACCCCATATGTTTGATAATCTCTCCGTTGGTGTGATATAAATGTATGCTTAAAATGAGCACTATATTTTTTGTTCCTTCAGTGTGAAGTGTTTTATGTGGTTGGAGATCGGGGATTGGGACACGTTATTTTTGTAAATATATTGCTGCTCACTGAAATTAACTTATTTTGCAGGTATATACCGAGAGGAAGTATGGTTTGACTCTCTCAGTATACTGGAGTCCGATTCAGATGATGACTTCATTAGTGTTCATGGGGGTAAGTTCTTTATTTAATTTTTTATTTTTGGTTGATAAATGACTCCAGATTTCTTTTTTCTAATTTGTAATTTATTTATTTCATTGCATGTAGATTGTTTTCCTTCTTTCTGCAATGCAATTGGGAACATCTCTGATAACCAGATGATTCAGCATGAAAAAGCATCATGCTCTATCGACAATGGGTGCAATTATGACGGGGTGTATGGAAGCTACCTAAAAATAGATGGAGGAAAAATTGAGAACTTCGTGAGTAAAGATGAATATGGGGAATCAAATGGATTCTCGGATTTAGGTAAAAGCAGCCAGGGTCATGAACTTCCATGCTCGATGAAGTCTGATGAAGTCTGTACTAACAGGAAGAAAGTCTTAGATGATCATTGTGGAAGCTTTAACAGTCTAAAAGTGAATTTACATGATTCTGAAGAGAGATCTCAAGAAAACTACTTGAAATCTTGTTTACCTCGGTTGCTTCCTTTAGTCGATGCCAATGATATAAATCAATCTCCATCAAGTCCAGGCTCAACATCAAAGAGAAAGAAATCAACAGTTATCATGCTTGCAGTAAAGAGGAAATCCTGTGATGGTGATGAAATGACTGAGTTCTGTAAGTACTAAATGTAGTTAAATTCCGTGTAGGCTTGTACATATGTTTTTATAATAGGAGTCTCAATATTGACTATTTTTCCTTTTCTTTTTTGAAATTATGTATTTGTCTAAGTTTTCTAGTACAATGGACTTCTTTATTTTGAATGATTTCTTGAATGAACCTAAACTTTTTATAATCTTTTATTTCTAGGACTAGTGAGCATGCCATATGATATGATGTGAATAAAGACTGCAACATAATCTACACTGGTTGACATTAAATATGTAACTAGAAAACCCCATATTTTGGCATTGTATAGTAACGATATTCCATCAAATGTTTAGAAGCTGTAATTGGAAGCTGTAGCTTGATATGTCAAAACGTTTTTTGTAGTGTGCCTTGGAGAAAACAAAACAAAACTGGGACATAGTCCAGGTTGGTTGGCAAATGTGTTGTGATACGTAGACAGTCTGTTTTACTTTTTACTTTTTACTATTCAGCAAGTAATTACTTGACTTCCTTTTTTTTTTTTGGGGGGGGGGGGGGGGGGGGGGGGGTGTTGGGTAAGGCACTTGACTTCGTATGTTAAACCTATTAAGTTAAGAAATCCTCCTTATGGATGTACAACATCAAACACTAAAATACCAATTTAAAGAAAGGTTTAGAGTGATTTTTTAGAGAATACAAATTTGGTCAGCTCATCCATGTAGACATTTACTAATTTAATGAGCATAATAACAGGTTCATCCCAGAGATTCTTATATCATCCCAGAGCAGGACTTCTGATTCCATGTTCAACAGATGATAAGCCAACTCTGGGATGCTGGTGTCAGGTAGCACCTTCAGTTTTTAAGCTCCGGGGCAATGATTATTTCAGGCATGTTGTTGAGTTGTTTTCATCTTCCATTTACCAGATTATGTTCATTTACAGCTACTAGTGTGGTTCTGAAATTTGATTTTTTAAATATTTATTGCAACTGTTCAACTGAACCTTTAGAAATTTAAAATGCAGAGATAAACGGAAATATCCTGCTCCGAATTACAGCCCATATTCTCCAATCGGTGTTGATCTATTTGTTTGTCCACGGAAGATACATCACATTGCTCAGCACCTTGAACTTCCCTATGTAAAAGCTCATGATAAAGTGCCATCGCTGCTGATCGTCAATATTCAGGTATTCTTTTCACTTATTCCTTCCTCTTGACCTTCCGTTATGATTGATTGTTGGGTGGATTGGTGAATGGATTGGAGTGAATTCTGATACCCCATTTTACAGTTTATTTGGTTCCTTCTATGCTGAGGACTAAATCAAACTAATGGTTTTTTGTTTTAACTATGCACTGCATAGCTTACTGCGCTTCTTGTGATTGAGAGCCAGAAATTTATAATGTGGAACCTGCAGTTATGTTTCCCAACTGGATGAGGTGGGGGTGGGGGTACTTTGAAATGCAATTTCATCAGCTTATATGAAAAGTAGTGGATTCTGAGAGAGGGCTTTGTTGTTAAAGTTTTGATTTATTGTGGCAGATGCCTACTTATCCCGCTTCCATGTTCCTTGGTGATAGTGATGGGGAAGGCATGAGCCTTGTATTATATTTCAAAGTATCTGAGGGTTTTGACAAAGAGATATCTTCTCAATTCCAGGAGAGTATCAAGGTACTTGCAAACTTCTCTTAAAAGTTGCACGTCTATGATTCGGCATTAGCACTGCATCATACTCGTATATACAATGTTTTCACTTTTTATTCCGTAACTTGTGCTCCTAGATTTTATACATTCCCTGCTTCCACGCCCCATTTATTTAATATATCCATTTTATTTCTGTTAATATCAGTTTATAAAATCTCCTTTGTCCATGTGTCTGTTTCCCACTAGTGTCCTTTAACCACAAAAAAAGCTTATTATGAAAACGAATGAGAATCAAAGCTAATAAATTAATTTATGTAAGAAAAAGAAATACAATGCAAGAGTAAGTCTATCATCAGGGCATTGTTATGGTGATTGGTGCGTTCGCATTCTCTGCTTTCATCCAACAGCTGAGGTCTTCATGTCACCATGAGACTTTTTCCAATATGCAACTGAAACCTAATTTAGTTGAGTGGAAACATGGGAAGTCCATCTGGATATAAAATGAGAAAAAAGATGCTCTGGACATGTGCAAAGAAGACCACTAGGTGTGCCAATTAGAAAGGGTGACATGGTTGATGGTCCACATCGAGGTTAAGGCTAGAAGAAGGGGAAGACCAAAATTAACATGGGTTGAGTTAGATAGGAAAAATATGATAACATGTGGTTTGACTAAGACTATGACCTTAGAAAGAGCAGAATGGAAAAGTACGATTCGTGAAGCCAATCCCATGCAGTTGGAAAAAGGGTTTGTTGAGTTGAGTTGGGAATATGAGTAGTAGTAAAAGTGAAATTTGAAATGTTAACAATGGGAACTGTTAACAACAAACATGTAAATTTTGGAATCTGCATGTTATGTGGCATGAATACATGGTATCATATATGCTAACAATACAAGTGATAAAAACATGGGGGATCTCTTAAGCGGTGCACTTTTCTATATTAAAAAATTATAACTTAGTTTCCAAGTAGGTTGAAGTTGAAATTATGCACTTTTTCCTTTTTATGAGTTCATACTTTTACATATATTTGTTGAAATTACGTATAATGTTAAGGAAAAGAGATTTGGGGATGCTAATGTTAATACTCTTTATTTTTTCACTTATACTACTGAAAGGCTTGTACAAGACTCGAAAATATATATATATATATGTATGCATATATTATCATTGTTAATCAACATAACTGCCATCATTAGTATTTGGGTGAAAATGGATAGATAAAATGGATTGAGGTGTTAAACAGAAGGAAAAAAATTGCCAACTTCTTCATGTTAGTCAAAAGGCTATATCTTGTGCAATACTGGAATAAATGAAAAGAATGAGGATAGAATATGTTAGTTCATTATTTAAAATTATGGTATATTTGAATAATAAAATTATCAATGAAGTAAAATTCACATTAGTGTTGTTGCATATTTATAGTTTCCATATTCATGTGTACGTTTGTTTTTTTATACATAGGCCTGAAATTGTTGTTAATATAAAACACCATTAAGTTCAAATCAATATTACACTATGGCCTATCAAAAAAGGAACACACGCACACAAACACCCAATTGCATTATTGATATTTATAATCAATGGGAAGTTGAGTTGAGAAACTCTATTTCTATTAAGTAGTAAATATACTTCATCTATATACTAAATTAATGATATATCTCTTTAAATTTTTGGAAGGTATTTAGAATTTCGTAGAAGACATACTCTAAATGCATGCCCCCTTAAAAAGTTGGAGTTCCCAAAAGAATCACTTAATATGGGACGGAGGGTGTATGTGATTTCTCTCTCCCAAACTACCCCTTGCCTCCATTTTTTTCCCTGTTTGGGGGTAGAGTGAGGTGTTGATGGCTTGGGAAAAGATAACAAACCTTGAGGGACCCCGGTTTAAGATGGAAATAATGAAATGAGAGTAGTATACTCCTTCATTTTTCCATCAACTTCATGAAGGATTCAGTCACAAAAACAAATATGAAACTGCTTATTTTTCCCAGTCTCTTAGTTTTGGTTCATGGGCTCTGAACCGGTTCTTATTTTATTGAAAATGTTGAAAAATAACATGACTGACTTCGTTCATTTCTTAAGAAGATTGACTGGATAAGGTGGAAGAAATCCTAGCTAAATTTCGATAATGAATTTTTTTTACATACTATGATTCCTGTCCAACTTCTGACAGATTTTCTTGCCGTGTCACTCCACTTTTCTTGTTTCTTTCCTTTTGTGCCCCTGCAATTTTTATTTTTTTATTTTTTATTTTATTTTTTATTTTTTTCACTTTATTCTGTCATTAATACATTACATTTTGTCCCCCTAAATTAATACATTACTTTCTTCCTTCTGTAATATTTTAGTGTAACTACCATTTTTTGGTTTCTACAACAGAGATTGATTGAGGATGAGATGGAAATAGTGAAGGGTTTTGCAAAAGAATCTATAGTTCCTTTCAGAGAAAGACTAAAGATCATGGTTGGGGTGGTTAATCCAGAGGACCTCCGCTTGAATTCAGCTGAAAAGAAGCTTTTACATGCTTATAATGATAAGCCAGTGCTTTCACGTCCTCAGCACACATTTTACACGGTAAGGGAAATTTTTATTTCCTGTTCTAGGTTCATCTTCATTCTCATCTTGATGATTGTTGATGTATTTCTTTTGGTAGTACCCGGACCATAGGGGTCTTGCCATCAGACTGTGCTGTTGAATTGGAAGCATATATACTTCAGCTCTTACCGTCTTTTTGCTTAATGATTTCATGCATCTTTCTTTTGGTAGTACCTGGAGTATAGTCCTAGTCTCTTTCATATTTTATTATTACTTTTCAAATATATAATTTATTATTTTTCTACGCCAGTTAGTATGTTTTGGTACATTAAATTTCTCTATGCCATTCTTGCATTTAACTATAAATTGGCAATTGATAGACTAGCTGTCTCACAGATTTGCATTGATAGATAGACAATTGCAGCATAATGGGGTTTCTAATACATTAAAAGACAACTTTTTCTGAGAAAGGCAATGAGAAAATCAAAAGCAGGATCCATTATTGTGACAGATCTTTTTAAACCAGTGCTCTCAATATGCATGAAATAATTTGAAAAGGGATGGCATACCTGGGCTTAGATCTGCATGTTTTACGAAAGGTCCTTGAATGGAAGTAGTAGATTAGTTGTGCTAGGTTCAAATTGACTGTCCACGAACACCTAGTGACCTTCTTGTGTGAAGGCAATTATTAGACTTCTAGTTACCTTGTAAAAAAAAAAATTAAATAATATTAGAATCCACTTTCTGCCAGAAGAGTGCTAGAATGTTTAGAGTTGAGTAATAACTCGGAAACGGTTTTGAGCAAGTAAATATACTATGTATGTTCATCTCCTCTCGGAGAGGAATGCGTTGCAATATACTTGGAGGTTTGCATAGCACGTTTAGTCATGAAAAACTTATTAGCTGTTCACTCAGCCACTGATGTTCTAATACTTGTGCAGTTCGACCTCTTAACTTTGCTCTTAGAAGTGCAACTATCTGCATCCAACTCTAGGCATAGCATCAGTAGTAACTTTGAGTATGCTTTTATGCAGGGACCGAATTATTTTGAAATTGACCTTGATATACACCGGTTCAGTTACATATCTAGGAAAGGACTTGATGCATTCCGAGAACGGTTGAAATATGGGATACTTGATCTTGGTTTAACCATTCAGGTATGGCTTTTATCTTTACCTTTTGTAATCTCGATATCAGAAAGTTAGCTATATAAAAATAAAAGAAGGTAACGTTAGTTTACTTTTCATTTCTCTTAATATATTACATTGTAGTAAGAAATGAAACTGGCTATGGATTTAGGTCATTTGAAAATTTGATGTCTGGTGGGATTTTAGTGATGTCAGGTTAAAGACGGTATCATATTAGTTTAGGTTCCTAGTGTGAGGTTTTGGTTTTAATGTTTTAATCTTCTGAAGTTCTTAAATGCATCCTGAAAGAAGCAATGGGTCATTAAAATTGAGAAAAAAGGTGTAAGTTTGAATAAATATTACTCGAAATATCCGATTTGTAAGCATGGGAAGAAATATCATGACCGCAAGCAAAGGTGCGGAATGAATAATAATGTGAGATTAGGTATTTTTAAAACATGGCCACTTGATGCTTGAAAATTCAGTCAAGCTTTGGAGATATAAGTACATAAATTTAGAAATCCATTATGTCTGAACAGATTCTTTAGAGTTGTGATAGAGAGTCCGAAAATCAGACACATCCGACTACATTTATGTGAATGGAGGATGAGTGTCTGACGTCATCCCCCACTCACATAAAATAGTTGGATGTGTCCTACTATCGGACTACTTATCATTTTCCTATTTTTTGATGTATTCTTCCCATTTACTCAACTCTGCCTGGAATCCTTTTTGTGGATATTCCAGCATTTCCATGCTCATTCTATTTGTTGAGTGCTGCTGTTAAAACTTACCTGCTTTTTCTGTTTGATATTCTTGACAGGCACAAAAACCAGAGGAACTTCCAGAGAAAGTCCTGTGCTGTGTGCGCCTGAATAAAATTGATTTTGTAAATCATGGCCAAATTCCTAGAATTGTAACCCTTGATGAGAATTGATTTTAGATGGGAGCAGGAAAATGATGTATTACGACCCAAAATTCCGGCAACAAAGCTTTTCAAGAACACCTTGTAAAATTTGGAACACAGCTCCAATTTATTCAAATAAAAAGTAAATAAATGAATAAAAGAATTAATAGAAGGAAATTCATTTTGTAATTCAAAGTTTCTTCTCTCTTTTTATTATTTAACTTTTGAATTTTTTGCAATACAATGGTAGAAATAAGTTTAGATATTGTCTGTGGATTTAGACCTACTTGTCACCACATTATCCATCGTTTTTGGATTGGCAAGAACACAGCGGACAAATTGTAAGATAATTTGCTCAATCTTTCATCAGGCATTTTTCCAAACATTTAGTATGAATTCTGTTTTACTAATTGTTACTTTAAATGGTCAAGGGCCTTGAACAATAGAGACCGTATAAAAAGATATTCTGACAGCCAGTTAGGAGAAGCAACCAACTCTGGAAACTCTTTTCAGTTTATATCAGAAGTAAATCTAACCGTCACCAAAAGATGTGGCAGTATCTTTTCTACCTTTTAAAGTGAAAAGTGATGTAAAAGTGATGTTCGAGTATCCGTGTTTTTAAAGTAGAATGTGAGGGACCAAGTATCCGTAAGGGCAAATAAGTGTGGGATGGTTGGGTAGTCTGGAGTATAGTTTTGTGTTTATTCTCGTAGACTTCACGTGCAATTACCTCTCTTTGATATCACATTTATGTACTCACTTCACATAGTGATAATAGTGCTTTTGTTATGTTTGGCGGTACTGAATTAGCGCATTGAATTTGGGATTAGAGAAAATTTGATACAAGTGTGTCCCTGTCTCAACCTCCTACAGAAAACCAACCATATACTTGCCTATAACAGAGAGAAAACAAGTGTGTCCCTCTCTCAACCTCCCACAGAAAACCAACCATATAATGTGGTGTGAGAAAACAAGTGTGTCCCTGTCTCAACCTCCTACAGAAAACCAACCATATACTTGCATATAACAGAGAGAAAACAAGTGTGTCCCTCTCTCAACCTCCCACAGAAAACCAACCATATAATGTGGTGTGAGAAAACAAGTGTGTCCCTGTCTCAACCTCCTACAGAAAACCAACCATATAGTGTGGTGTGTGCGGTTGTCCGTGTGTGTTATACCACCCCATATACTGAATCTTGCAAATAACAGAGATAAAACGAGTCCCAAGCCATATAATGCGTATTTGGTATACCTACCACCCATATACTTGTTGCAAAATTGCACTTGCATTGCATAAGATGGGTAGGAATGATTTATATTCTTGGGACACACAACGACCCCACCGATCAAAGACCGGGACACACTAACATCAACAATCAAGATAGACAACAGATACTTCCCCACTGCAATGCTTCATCAAATATTAAGGTACAAAAAAATAGGAATTAGGAAGGAAACCAACTGAATGGATAATGAATCTATAAATCACAACTTCGCAACATCCGAAGATGCAAAATAGTGTACAGTTTTGCTGGGAAATTGGTTTTCCCCACACCCCAGAAGAAAGACAAAAAGCCCACGCAGTTTATCGAAACAGAACACAAAACAATCAATTATGCAATCCCTAATATGAGAAATTCTCTTGAGAAATGAGGACGCGGTCACATAAAAGAATGTTCCTCAATGTGGTCACATAAAAGCCATGAGTAAGGTACTATAATGTCTATTTCAAACTTTAAAGCATCGAGCATTCTCCATAACATAAGAAGGTTACTTGGGACCAATATCCTTGAGGGCACAGATCTGCTCCTCACCCATGGCAGACATCACACTCACAACAAGATCCTTCCCCTCAGCAAATCCATCCTTGATCTGCGTTATATTCAACAATGACAATTATTTGGGGTCTTGGGTATATAAAATAAAATTGAGTAAGAAAAATAAACAAACTTTAACTTGTAGGAAAAGTGAACGAGTCCTAAAGAAAGACCATCAGATATGCTTGTGTGAAATATGCAAGTGTGACCATGCAAATGATAAATCTAAACAAAAGTTAAGGCTGCATTAAAACATATCAAGGCTTCAAAATTAAGCCACAGAAACAGAAGCTACAATTCTGATATGCATGAATGACCTGTTTGTTTGACAGAAGCATGAAAGGTCTCAGAAGCCAAGAAATGAAGAATTGCATTAAAATGAGATGGCTATACTAGGGGGAGCTTGAGCAATTGATTTGGGGTCAAATGCATTCTAGGAAACTTCCCGGTCACCATAGTGACAAGGGTTGAATCTAGGATTTACGGAATCCTGGTGTATAGATTCCGGCTATGGCCCAAACATCTCTTAGGCTCAACTAACAAGCCACCAACTCAAAAAATGGACCTTCTATGGTCTAAGTACCTCAAAAGCTCAAATAATGAGCTCTCCGTTTGAACACTGGTTTAAAAAGTCAAAAGAGCAAATGCAGTCAACCAAAAATTTAAACTTCTACCAAAACCAGGAACACCCATTTATTTCCCATTATAACCAGGTAGCAAGAAGGCATTAGAAATTCTTCAACCTTCAGGGTGCTATGCTACGCAACTCGAAACAAATCTGGACCAGGTGATGCTAATTGCAATACAGTTGCAACAATTCAAATCAATATCAATATAAATGAATCTGAGTTATACTAATATATGAAGCATAACAAACAAAAATAAAAAATAAGGCCATGATTAAGCATCCTTTTTTTTTTTTTTTTTTTTTTTTTTTTATCCTGATGAAAAGAATTGACCCAGCTCAGAATTTTAAAAGATTCTAAATCTGAGCCACTCAACTGAATCTACTTATAACCAGCCACATAAGATTGAGCTGAGTTTTTGTCATGACACCAGAAAATTTGTTAGATAATGTTAGCGATAACTAGGTTCAAGTTTCATTAGATCTTCGCTCCAAAATGTAAATGATAAATTTTTTTTTTAAGTAAAAGCATAATTTTCCAAATGGAATATAATTTTCATAGTTAAAATAAATTAGTAAAAATTCCTTCAAACCATAGGAGTGATATTAAACCCCTTATTGTATATTTACTGCACATAATTTTACAAATTTAGACTTATCAAAAAAATACAATTGAAACAAATTTAACAAATGAGTGCAAGTACAGACTAAAGAATTTAAATACTCAGTTTAATTGTAGCATTAAGATCTAATCCAAAGGCAATTACTAATTAGTTAATAAGTCTTTCTTTTTCCTATTTTAAGAAACTTACCAATTCTTTACATTATCAATAAATTTATTATCAAGGTAAAATGATAAAAGTAGACACTTCAATAGAGGAAACAAAAATGAAAGAATTTGGCTAGTCCTTCGAGTCTCTCCTATTGTGTATGCATATGCGTATATTAAGATAATTTTTTATTTTTATTTTTAAATCCGTAGAAAATTTGCTCTTTGAGACTGTAAAAAAAGAAAAAGGACTTTTATGGTGGAGTAATTAATTGAGTTCTTCTGTGGATCAATTTCAGCTTCTAAAAATTCAATGACCCTGCATTAGGCCACTAATATCACATACATGATACAACAGCTATATCATATGCTGTATTTAGACAGTGCAAATTCAAGTACAAAGCCAAATCATGAATATCAAGTACAAATGTAGAAATTGTATAAATAATAAGTAATATCAAAACAAATGCCAAAGGATTAAAAACCCAGCAATTTCGCATAATATATCTCTCCCTTTAGTTTGTCTTGTCACCAGTTTGACCCATCTTGTTTATGGACCTAGCAAAATCTCCTTCAAAGAGACAATATCGAAATGAAATAGCAGTAACCAAGATATGAAGTCCCATTTGTTCGGTAAGTGTATATGTGGTGCTGCCTTGGTTTCATTATTATTGTTGTTATTTTGTTTCATTTTTTACCAAACACCGTCGAATTATATCCTAAGGCTTCAATTTAAAAACACAGATTGAAGATAAATACAAGGGCTCCAATACAATGCACAAGAGAGAGATATAAAAGATGTATAATTTTTTTTATTAAAGAATACATAGATTTATAAAGATATCATATCAACTAACCTGCGAGAGCAGATTATCATCGGTTGGAAGCCTCAGGTCATCTTTAGTATTACCATTCTCAGTAAGCAGGCTCACCTACAACATATTGTAGAGTATCAGACAATCATTCAGCAAAAGCAAAAGTAAAGCAACAATCAAACCAAGGAAAGTAGGCACATACAAATCCATCCTCAGAGATATCAATCAGTTGGTAGTCAGTACGGTTAACATGGGGGACCTGTCATTCAATGATACACATCTTAACATCCAGAATAAGAAAACAGCAAAATGCGACACCTGAATAACTCAAACATGATTTACAACAGTACTTACATCACAATTATGGGAAGAGGGAACAATATCTTCAAGCTTTTTTGCATTGAAGATGTCGATTGCAACAAAGTGACATTTAGCATGACCATGCTTGCCAGTTTTGGAAGTTGAGACCTCCACAACCTGTTTCAAAAATACACATATTACAATAAGACAGTCCTCAAACATGTAATAAGAAATAAAGACACGTCTCCACTATTGGGGGGGGTGTTAAGACCACATAAAACCCAAAACCTCATATGATCCGCGCAGCAAAACTTAACTTTAACTCAAAATCAAAGTTTAATAGAAATCAAGAAGCCATCGAAATTTTTTTGTACATCTGATTACCCATGCTCACTTTTTAAGCAAATTTAAAGTGCTCAATGCTAACAGATGGCCAGATGAATATGTTCTATTATCTAGTACACTCTTGACCTTTTCCATTAGTGATAAAGAGTTTAAAATATTGACAAAAACATTAATGGAGCAGAAGCAGACCCAAAAGTCGAACAAATCTATGCCTTTTTATACTAATTACTGTCAGCTAGACTAAGTTGCCATAAAGATGTATGATAGGATACTACTTGTTCCCTGAGCATATCTTCAATAAATGATGTACATACCACGAGGGTGTAAGCCACAGTAAACTGGTAATCATTAATGAGTAGAGATTAACTATAAAGCTACAGTTACTAATACTAAAAGTCATAAAATTCACGGGAAAAAAAGGACTCTTTAACCAAAAAAAAGCTTCAGAATTTACTCCAAAATCATGACAACACATTAAGATCGGAAAATGTATTGTGTTACTTTTTTTCAATTGAAATATCAGAGCGCATATATACAATTTTCCAGAAATTAAATATAGTACAAACAAAATTGAATCAGTAGCAATTATCACGTACTACAGCTCAGAATCAGACCAGATGATGTTCAGAAACCAAATATATCCAAAAAAAAAATGAAAAAAGAAATACCCTACAAACAAAAATAAGACAATAAGATCTTTCAATACTCTAAAAAAATCTGAACTTGAAAGAATCAAAAGAGATGGAACTAATATGAACAATGAAAACAAACTCAACGATCCGCAAATAGAGTAGATCTAAACTTCTAAACGCAAAAAATTACAATCCAACTACAGATATTGTATATAGTCAGTTCAAATACAAACAAAATCAATGGGAACAAAAAAAAACGCTAGCATCAGAAAACAACTAATCAAGATTCACCGATCCAAAACGAGACCTAGAACATCAGATCCGAATGATGATGCACATATATATATAGATATAGAGAAGCCGTAGAGATCGGGAAAGAAAGGAGAAAGATGAACCTTGCAAGGCCTGTTCTTGATGACGATGTAACCGTTCTTGCGGATGGTCCCAGCCTGCTGAGGATAGGTCTTGGAAGCTCCAGCGTCGGCCTTGGATTCGAAGTGGTGCTCTTCGTCCGACATGGCTAGAGAGAGAAACACAGACTGTAGAGAGAGAAAGAGATGGATAGGAATCGCAGAGCACTGTGATGTTACTGGTACTATTAGATATGATGGAAATGAGAAAAGAACAGGTATATATCTTTGGGTTGTAGGAGAAATTGGGCGTTTAGGGTTTTCCTTTCTGGAACTCGCGCGTTGGCATCAGAATTGATCTCAACCGTTGGATTTAATGTGCTCTTTATAATGGATATTTCGTTGACTCATGCTTTCAAGCATCATAATGGATGAGTTACCAATTTATTAAGGGTAAAGTGCCAAAAAAATTTAAAAAAAAAAAATCTTGAGATATGAGTTAAGACCATCTCTAATCCAAAATGTTATTTTTACATGTTAAATTTATATTTTGAAAAAAAATATAATGTCAAAATGTTATATTTTAACAATTTTACTTTAAGGTGCATTCATTCAAAATACTATTTTTTAACACAACAAGTATTATTTTTCAACTACCATTCCCAACTACCATTTTCAACAACTATTTTTTTTTAGTATTTGTATTTTATTTAGCTTATTTGCCTTATTAAAATAAATAAATAAAAATGATGACATATATATATATATATATACAAGCACAACGGACATATATATACACATATATATATATACACACACACAACACTGACATATACATATATATACAGGGGTGGAGCCTTTCATGAGTTAATCTAGGCTGCAACTCAGGTCCAAAAAAATAAAAATAAAAATAAAATTATTACTACCATGTCCTATCAATTATAGTCCAGCCCAAGTTTCCAATCCATAATAAATGGCCCAGCCTACTAGCCCAGCAAATCAAAACCAATCCATGAAGAAGTCCAAACTATTCAGCTTAATTTTAAACAAAATAAAAACCTTTTTAAGTTTTTATTTACCAAAAAAAATCCCTTTTCAGTATTTAATCCTTTTCTTTTTTCTTCAACAATATTTTTTTCACTTTTTTAATCTTAGTGGAGCTTTTTTAAAAATAACTTCAACATTATGTTTATAATGATATTTGGTAATTGGGTCTTTTTTTTTTTTTTTTGGGATTATTGTCTAAAATTTTTGGATATCGGTTTCTTTACTTTAGGTTAAATTTTGATTGTTTTGTGTTGAATCATGTTGTTGGATCTGGGTTTCTTTATATTTGGATTTTTCAAAAAAATAAATAATTTTTTTCCTCAATAAATTATCTTCTCTATTTAAAATTATTTTATTTTCCACTTGAATTTTTTCTTTAGCCCTCTTTGCTTTCAAATCCTGACTCCGTCCCTGTATATATACACACAACACTGACATATATATATATATATATATATATATATATATATATATATATATATATAAGCACAACTGACACATATATATATATACACGCACACAAGCCCAATACCAAATTGGCAACCCAACACCAAATTGATAGCTCATGGGAGAGAGAAGAGAGAAGGAAAAGAGCAATAGCTATATGTTGTGTAATATTTGGCAAAATTATATTTTGGCACCTCATTTAGCGTGCCATTGGAGAGCCAATTTTAAACTAACATGCTATATTTTGAAAAAAACAGTCCATTAGAGTTGCTCTAATTGCACAAAACCCCTCTTAATTAATAACTGCCCTCTGAACTATCAAAAAAGTGCATTTAAGGACAAAATAAAAATATTATATTACAAAATTAACCTTTCGTGAAACGCTGTTGTTTTAGTGTTTTAGTTCTCGCTATTGTTGATGTATCATCAAATGCAATCTAAACAGCAAATCACCTCATCATATTAAGTACTTAACACTACTGCCAAACACGGCCTTACAGATACGGCTCTGTCTCTCTACGCTTTTGTGTCCTCGTCTCTCTCTCACACATGCGCACACATTATCCTCTTCTTCTTCTTCACCCAAAACCCTAGTGTTTTTTCCCCATACGGCAGCTTTTATCTTATCCATTGTTTTCTCATCTTCTAGTAACTCCTGTGTTTTCTAGACATACAATGTTCTCTCCCACAACCGACTATATTGCCAACCAATTGCAACCTTCGACAGCCAACCATATGGGTCTTCAATTAAGTTCTCAATTTGGGTCTCCAAAGATGCTCACGATTTAGTCAGTTGGGTTTGTATGATGCTTACCAGAAAGTTTTGTCGCCTATGTTTGTTTGTGGTTCACCGGAATGAGACTTTACTCATTTGATCGTTGCGATTGCGTTGTTAATGCTTAGAGCTTCTCGTTGGTGGTCTTGGAGTTTTAGGTTGGCTCTCACTGGTTTCACTGCTCATTGATGCTTAGAGTTTCTCGCTGGCGATTATGGAGTTTGAGGTTTGCTCTCACCGGTTTTGCTGCTCGTTGATGCTTTTAACTTCTCATTGGCACCTGTGTTTATGGAGTTTCAGGTTAGGCTCTCACCAGTTTCGCTGCGATTGCGTCGTGAATGTGGTATCACGCTCAGTGAGTTTGAAGCGCTTACCAACTCTGCTCCCGACGATGAACAAGTTCAGCCAGAATAAGCGGCGACGTTCTGGGTTTTGAATGTGGTTATAGGAGAAGATATATATGTACTATGTTATATATATACACACTACATCATATGTATTTGTATATAAGGGTAGGATTGTCATTTTTAATTTACAACATATAGTCACGACCAAAATTTAACGGAATAGTGTCACCTGTTTTTTTTTTTTTTTTTTTGGCAGAAATTGCACTTAACCCATTTATTAATAAGCAATGATATTCAGCCCCATTAGTTAGATGTTACAAAGGGGAGACTTGTCCCACTTCGGATCCGAATTCCGGATGAAAAATGTAATAGGTATAAATGAGTTGGCCCTTACCTCACCTAATGGCTTAAGCTAGTTTTTAGGTCGGATGCCAAAGCACTCAACCTTTTACATTAAGCCTATTTGTCAAATTGGATGTTTCACTTCGACAATATACTTAACTAGTAGGCTTGAATCCAAATATTGATGAACAAAGCAAGCTCTGCTCGTATACGATTCAATCCGGACTCTTTCGTCAAGCAAACGAATTAAGATTAATTTCAATTTTTAGGCTCATTTAAACGAGCCTATCATAAACTATTTATACTCGATTGGTGAACATGAGCTAGAGTAGACTCGTTTATATTCATATATATAAGTTCATATAGACTCATGAATACGTTCATATATAAAGAGTAATATAAGTTTATGAACATCTGTTCATTGTTCATTGACATAAGCTCGTATAGAGGCTTATATAAGTTCATGAATGAGTCAAAACGATCTTCAACACGAGCTCAAATCAAGTTCGAATGACTTTTTGTTATTCAACAAGCTAATCCCAAGTTTTTTTCAAAATAATGACAAGCGGAACCCGAGCTTTACTTTTCGAGCTTGTTACGATCTCAATCTAAGCCCATAAATGAATGAGTTGAGCCCAAATATACTCAAGCTCAATTTATTATTTTATTTTATTTATTATTATTTTTACCTTGGCAAAAAACCCACTCTCATACATTTTTTGCCCACACCATAGCTCGAACCCCTTCCCTCCTCTTTGAGGATGAGGAGTTTATACCATTGGGTTAGATGCCCTTTGATAACTTAAGCTCAGTTTGGCTTAGCTCATTTGCAACCCTATTTATTAATCACTAAATTGACATAGTGTTTGAGATTTGTGAAAAATCAAACAAATTATTAAATAAATCTCTCACTTCAACAGTAAGAGAACTCATGACTCTTGACGTAGGATTCTTTGGTAGCATTACTTTATTTTTTATATGAAAAAATGTTTCTTATGTTGAAGAGTTGCATTGAAATCCTCTGATGAATGGTTAATAGTTGTGAGGGTTACATTCACATGGCTTTCTGGCGATCAACTTAATTTAATACTCCCTTTGTCTCATATTAGTAGGCTCATTTTCCTTTTTGGATGTCCCAAATTAGTTGTTGTGAAAGCAAAATAAATGTTATTTTTTCATTATTATTCTTTAAGTTCTTCAAAATCTTCCAACTTGGTAATACACACACACACACACACACACACATAAATTTCAAATGACACTTGGTAATTTTAAAATGGGACAATGCATTAATTGCATATACCTTTCCTAAAATTCTGGGTCATCTTTTCATTTTGATATCCCAATTTTTTTGTTTTTCAATCTAAATGGTTAGTTTGGTAAGCATGAAGTAGCTATAAAGGAAAAGAAACATAATAAATTTGAACTTTTTAGGAGATTGGTTAGATGAAAAGTGAATTTTTTGGGAAAACATGATTCCCGTAAGAAAATTCGTCATACCAATTCTGTCCTTACTCTAGGACGGATTTGTAATTGGTACACCATTCCCGCTCCTATTTCGGTAGACAAAGTACCGACTCCACCCCATATACTCTATTTAATTGTGGGGAGAGACGGAGGCATGGCAAGTTATGCCACTTTTATTATTTAGTAAAAAAAAAAAAAAAAAAAACCTAGCTCAATATGCTCAAATTGGGTAGAAAAATAAGCTGACTCAACTTTTAAATTACAAAAATACTGAATATTAATATATCAAAAGACACTTACAATAGAGTAACAGGGTCTTAAAAATATTAAATATATAATATATCTATATATATATATATATATTAAAGGTACATATATAATAGGTGTGAATGCGGGGGCGGGGTGGGTTTATCACTAAATCCGCCCTCTCGAGTTTTCAATTATTTTATCATAATAGTCCCAAAGCCACTTAGGGGGCTACCACTGGATCGGGGGAAATTGCCACCTCTACCCATAAGTAGTTGATTTTCTCAAAATATATATATATATATATATATATATATATATATATATATATATATATATATATTGAGAAAATTTTAATTTCTCGTGAAAGATGTCCCTGTATATTTTATTTTTCTATGACGCCCCTTATAAGTTGGCGAATTTATGTGTTAAACTGTATAGACTTCTAATATATTTTATTGGGTAATAATTTATAAAATACTTTATTAAAAGGAAATTGATCGATTCAATCTTATTTGAATATGCCTTACCTAGTAATGTAACTTTGTAAATATTGGAGAAACTATATATTTTGGAAATGAGCATTCAAGATTAACCGTTACAAATATTATGAAGTCTTTCTCAAAT